CATTTTTTAGGAAGTTCCAGGTTAAAGGCAACCTCAGCTCACTGGGCAGCCCGTGGTGGTAGAGAATGGATGGCCCTGCTAAGCGGTGGGGATAAGAGTTTCAGAAATGAGGTGACAAAGTCTCACACCTCTAAAACAACTGAGGGACAGCTCCTGAGGTGGTGTTGGAAGTGGAGAAAGGAAGCCCCTTGCTGTGGGGTCTGCATGGACACCTGGTCTTCCTTTTGGAGCACTCTGTTAGATCTTTTAGAGGAAGGCCAGCAGGTCCATAGGAGAGAACTCAGGACAGGTTGTCCACAGAGGGATGGAGGGAAGGAGTCTGTGTTTGGCTGAGCATCAGATCGGATGTGGAGCTGAGAACAGGGCAGGGGGCTTGACTGAGAGCACAGGACCAGCACAAAGAGCGTGGAAAACCTCAGCTCTGCCTTGCAGCCTCCTTGGTGGAGTGACCCCAAATATCCACTCTGAATAGTCAGATCTGTGTTACCGTGTTTACTTGGGGCTCAGCACCCCAAATTCCCTTTGCATTGATTTCTGGGATTCAGTACTTTGACATTTCACAGGACATTTTACGTCTTTTCCAAGGAAACTCGTAGACGGTTCACTTAACCTCTCATCCCCAAGCCCCATCGCACCCCTAGCCTTCTGCCTAGTTCAGCTTTTCATTCTGGTTTCAAATATCAGCTTGAATACATTTTCTCCCGTGAACTGAATGTTACTTTATTCCCCCTTCTCAGTATTGACCGAGGTCCTAGCACCTGAAAGGCGGTATTCTTGTCTGTCCCACCTGGTCGGAGTGTTCTTAACACAGCTGGGAAACTGCTAGCTGATTAGTTGCATTGCCACATAACTGATTAGTCACCTGGGCTGTGCCCCTTGGCACCACCATTAAATAGGTGGTTGGGGGAGGGCACTGCTCCGTTTGCATAGTCGTTTGGCTCCACGGAAAATGCCAGGCTCCTGGTGAGTCCTCTCCTGCTCCTGGCCTGCACCAGATTCTGACCTCCCTGCTTTCTTTCCCTACTCTCCCTGCACAGAGACAGGGCAGGGCATTGTTCATGCACTGACCGACCTCAGCAGCCCCGGCATGACCTCAGGGAACGGAAATTCTGCCTCCAGCATCGCCGGCACTGCCCCCCAGAATGGTGAGAATAAACCACCACAGGCCATTGTGAAACCCCAAATCCTGACGCATGTTATCGAAGGGTTTGTGATCCAGGAGGGGGCGGAGCCTTTCCCGGTACGGACTACTTCTTTTCCCCTCTTTTTTCTTTCTTTTCTTTCTTTTTTGTTTTTTTTTAAGTATAATTTGGATGTGTATTATTAGAATATTTTACGTTTCCATGTAAAATTTCCAAAAATGTGAAAAGATTGTTCTTTCCCTGCTAATTTCCCCCCAAAGGAGTGTCAGAGCCGTTTTCCTTCTAGGATCGAGCATTTTCCCGAGGCCCTCAGGAGGCAGTGGTTAGGAGTAACTGGCAGGAGCCCTTGTTTAAGTGTCCACACAGACTCTGCTGTGTCCTGCCCAGTGGTGCGCGCCCCCTTGGTCAGAAGGGAGCTCACCCTGGCATGTTTGGTGGCCTTTGGGAAATGAAACTTCATTCAGTGTTGAATGCCAAACCTCTGAATGGCAAGATCTTGCCAGTAAGAGAACAGAAGCAGTCTGTGCAGAAGAGAGTTCTTAAGATACATCTGAAATGAAGAGCAGGGTTGTAGCCTGGGAACAGACCCTCTAAAGGGGCGTATATGAGAGTGAGGGGCACTTCAGAAAGGCCACAGTCACATGTCTCCAGTTAAAGCATAAGACCAAAGGGAAGTATAAAGGAACCAAGAAAATGGCTTATTAGAACAAAGCAGCCAGAGTCGATTGTGCTCAGGGTGGACTGGGGAGGACAGGAGGTGCTCCTGTGTGGGTGGGAGGGGCCCAGAGCCAGGTGCGCATAGCCCCTCCTGTGGTAAAGTTACCGGACTGCGACAGGCATGATCGTCGTGGGATGCCATCTGCCTTTTGCTCATTCTTTGGATCCATGAGTGACTTGAATAGTCAGCAGACTAAGCTTGATTAACTGAGAAGGGTGACCTGCCCTTCTAAAATGCCAAAAGGCACGTGGGCTCTTGGCCTCTTTCTCTCTGGAGGCCGTTCAAGGCCTGTGGCAAAGAAATCCACCTGGAGCACCTGAGCTAAGTAGCTCTAGGCCTGTCACATCCCTGCCCTCATTAGACTAGGTCTTCCCCTTGGCCTCCTGGAGAAACACCAGAAACCAACTGATCTCTCAGAGTAGATGCAGATTCAGTGACACCCCAGCTCCGCTCTAGCGATCTGGCCTCCAGGCTGCCTGAACAAAGGCAACAAAGGGAGGGCCAAAGGACAAATTAACCAATCTGGGATCCTTGCAACCACAGAGGGCATTTTTGCTCTGTAACCCAGAGTCCATTTTTTTCTACTCTCTCCCATGGCTGCGTGTATCTCTGTCTTGGGCAGGGTGGTGGTAAGGTATAGAGCAGTAAGAAATTTAAAAAATGGTTGCTGAGTCTCTGTCTTGTACACACATTCACTCACTCACACACAGCCTCAGCTGTGCTCCTGCTTGGTGGCGTGAGCACAGGCCCTGGAACCTGTGCTGGCAGCATGGGAAACCCGATCTCGGCCTCCATCTCTGCCCCTTAGACACTTGGAAGGTTAGATATTTTCCTAACCTCCTGAGCCATCCATTGATCCTGGACTGAAGCCATCCTTGTACTTTGGTGTCCATTGGCATCTTGCCTCAAGAGCTAAACAGCAAAATAGGCCTTGAGCAGGGCGTACTTGGATGATGTTGCACAGGCTGGCATCTGTGTCTGATGCTTTAGACATGTAATTTTGATGAGGCTGGATAGCAAGGCCTGACCCTCATGACCTCCATGTCACCATGTCCTCTAGGTGGGACGCTCGTCCCTGCTGGTGGGGAATCTCAAGAAGAAGTATGCACAGGGGTTTTTGCCTGAGAAACTTCCACAGCAGGATCATACCACCACCACTGACTCCGAGATGGAGGAGCCCTATCTGCAAGGTAAGCCCCTCAGACCGAGTCTAAGGCTGGTTTGGTCAGACAGGAAGTAGGCAGGTCTGGAAGGGCATCACTTCCGTGCTTCCTTTCTTGGTGTCCATGGGGGAACTCGGAGCCAGGGAGTGTGTAAACATGTCAGCTTACTGAACATTTCACCCAGTGCCTTCCCAGCCCCTGTCCCTGGGAAACGGCCAGGGGAAGTACCTGCCTGTCCTCTAGCCAGCCGCAGGGTCCCAAGAGCTGCTTCTCCTGTGTGAGTCATTGGCGAGAGTTGTAGGACTCAGGAGTGGCACCAGGCTAGCTGTGCCCTTCCTTTACTGCCCGTGGAGCCTGCACTCAGGACAGGACAGCTCTGAGGCTCAGTGGCGGCCAGTGAGGACTGCACTTGTCACTTGAGCCACTGACTAAATGGAAGGAGGGCCCTGCATAGGTTACAAAACTCCTGGATTCTGTTATCCAGTCAGCAGCCAACCAGATGGATGGAGGTGGGCGGGAGAATTCCGATCAGTGTGGCAGCACCCAGAGTGTGCCCCCTGAGCCGCCTCCGGTCCCCAGGGTCAGAAGGGTGCTGACACAACTTCACCCGTGGGTGCCTCAGGCCTATAGCAATTAGAGGAAAGAACTGTCAGTGTCCCAGCGGTATCCTCGGGCACCCTTGAGTACTTTCCAGGGAGGGAAACCACCTTTCCAAAAACAGTCATGGAGGCGCAGCATTTCCCAAGCTCTGTGGCTGCTGCGTGTCACAGCGGAGGGCACGTGAGGTGGCGGCAGAACAGAGTAGCTTGCCCCGAGATGAGGCTGTCGACAGTCCTGTGGGATTGCTCACCCTCCGTTCTTACCAGTTTTCACACATTTCAGAATCCAAAGAGGAGGGTACTCCCCTCAAACTCAAGTGTGAGCTCTGTGGCCGGGTGGACTTTGCCTACAAGTTCAAGCGTTCCAAGCGCTTCTGTTCCATGGCTTGTGCAAAAAGGTGAGTGGCCTCAGCCCCCACCCCCATGCTGTGCCCAGCCCCTTCCCTTTCCTCAGGATCGCACCTTGGCATCCTGCTCCTGTGTCCCACCTCCCTTCAGTTGTAGATCAGCCAAGAAGCCCAGGGTATGGTCTGTCCAGCCCCTCATTCCCCTGGCCTGCCTAGAAGCAGCAGCATGTTACTAATTCACCAGAGTTCCCACAAGCAGATCAGAGAGAGCAGCACAGAATTGAGGAAAGGAAGCAGACTTTAGCTGGGCTGACCCTCCTGAGTGCCACTGGCACCCAGCCCCTTTCCTGCCCATCTCCTTAGGGTAAGCCCTCCACCAGGAGCTTGCCCAGAGCACTGCATTAGTGACAGTTGCTCCTTTCAGGAGCTTCCACCCAGCTTAGAAGCTAACAGTCATAGTAAAACCAGTGTTATTACGGAGAGCCTGCCAAGTGCAAGGCCGTCGGTGTGCATTATGTCATCCAATCTTCAGAATAACTGAAGGTGCTGCTATTGTCTCTTTATACACATATTTGGGGACTGAGGCACAAAGGATACATAATTGTGCCTGAAGTCATAGAGCTGGGGATTTAGACTTCTCTGACTCTAAAACCCTATGTGGTCTGTACCAAGGTGGAAGAGGCAGCTGACCTTGAAGCCCTGGGACCCCCAAAGAGAGAGAATCTCTGGGCCCCAGGCACCCGTGCTTTGCAGGCAACTAGAGTGAGGCTGTCCTCAGGTCTCAGCCCCTCAGGCTGTGCTGGAGGGGATCGGGGCACCTCTGTGAAGCTTTGCCAAGCTGCAATCCAGCAGGACAATGGGCAGTAGTTTCTCAGCACAGGTACCATTTGTAGCAGAATGTGTCTGCAGTTTCTCACTGTGGTCCAAGTTGTTGTGTCAAGGGAGGGATTTAGGGTTAGAATTAGTAGATGGACTCGGGTTTTGCCAGGTCGCTTGGCGGCTCTTACTCTGCCCGAGGCCCGTCCACCCTGTGACTGCTCTGACTTCCTGTGTTCCCTCACTGGCAGATATAATGTGGGATGCACCAAACGAGTGGGGCTTTTCCACTCAGACCGGAGCAAGCTGCAGAAGGCAGGAGCCACGACTCACAACCGCCGTCGGGCCAGCAAAGCCAGCCTGCCAACGCTTACCAAGGATACCAAGAAGCAGGTGAGGGCTGGCGGAGCCTGAAGGTCACACCCTCCCAAGTCCCCCCAACGCCCCTTTACACCGTGGCCTGAGACACCCCCGTTGCTTTTCCACTGCCAATGTCAGCATGTTCTGTCCTGTTCCCATTTCTCCTAATCTGTAAGATCAAGCCTTCCCCATGTCCCTTCATTTAGACCCATGGATGCCTATGAGGTTACTCCCTTTTCAGCGATCTTGCCCCATCATCACCCCTTCCCTTCCAGTTTGCCTCCATCCATGACTTCTGGGGCCACAGAATTGGGCTCTCCCCTGCCTGGCTGTTGGGTTACTTCCTCTCTTACACAGATGGCTAGGTGTGAAGGAAGCCTACACCCTTCACCTTTTCACTGTGTTGCTTCTTTGAACTGTAGAGCACTGAGTTCTTGCAGGTCTCCACCAGGAACATGGGTGTTTACTCATTAAATACTGTTTAGCCCCGCTCTGTGCTGGAGCTCTGTCAGTCAGAGGCTCAAAGTTGCCCTGGAGAAACTCACAGCCTCGGGTGCTGCTTCAAAACCTTGGGGGTGTTTTGCTGCTTCCTGTTAGTGTTCGCTCATAAGCTTCCTTAAGAACCTGATGAGAGCTATGTCCAAAATGTACATATGTGAGAAATTTCACATGCTGTTTCTGGTGTTCATTGACTTCCCCCTCAAGCCCATAGAACCCTGGTTTAAAACCCCACATGTAAAAAGAATGTAGGCACAGAAGTGTGGCACATGCCCCAATACTGGGAAGGACTGACTCTGCTTAGGGTCAGAGAGGGGACAGTATGAAGATACTTTTTGGAATTCAAACATAGGTAGTAGTAGGCCAAGTAGAAGAGGGAAAATATACCTCCCTTTGCCTCTCACTGTGCTGGAGATGGTTTATTCCCCCATCCTGAAGAAAACTTCCTCTCTGTTTCCAGCCAACAGGCACTGTACCCCTTTCAGTTACTGCTGCATTGCAGCTAACACACAGCCAGGAAGACTCCAGCCGTTGCTCAGATAACTCAAGCTATGAGGAACCCCTGTCACCCATCTCAGCCAGCTCATCCACCTCCCGCCGGCGACAAGGCCAGCGGGACCTAGAGCTCCCTGACATGCACATGCGGGACCTAGTGGGCATGGGACACCACTTCCTGCCAAGTGAGCCCACCAAATGGAATGTAGAAGATGTCTACGAATTCATCCGCTCTCTGCCAGGTAAGGCCCTTGGAAGTTCCATGTCTGCCTAGAATATTGAGGAATGAGAGGGAGTAAGAGACCTCTCCTCCCACCACCAGGAAAGATTAGGCAGATCAGTTAATGACTCAGGTTCAGGAATTGGGGTGCAAAGATGAATACAAGGAAGTTTTTGCTTGTAAGAGCTTACATTCTAGCACAGAACACAAACTGTAAATAATATTTTGTAGCTATAATTGGATATATTTACTGGCTAAGTGGTGTGTGTGAAATGCAGAGGCGATAATGTAATGAACCCTGTGTCTCCTGCAGCAAGTTGGGAGGAGAGTCAAGTGGGAGTGTAGGAAATCTGTCAGGAACATCAGTTATGAAGAAATTTAAACTAAATGACAGTGGACAAGTAGGTCCTTGCCAGGTGAAGTGACTGCATCAAGGAGCAGCTTGAGGCATGAAGACATGAAAGTACAGGATATAGCTGGGAACTCCATAGAACCCTGGGTGGTGGAGCACAAGTGGTTTTGAGGGCTAGAATCCAGAAATGAACCTTGAAAGACAAACCTCACACCATTCACAGATGCTTTTGGTGGGATTCCAAAGCTTTACTGTTTTCCTGTTAGTCTCACCTAGCCATTGACCAGGTCAGGCACTGAAGGCAGCCACAAGCTTGTTACTCAGAAACTAGAGTGGGGCATAGTGGTTAAGAGCACAGACTTCTGAGTCAGACAGATCTCGGCTCAAATCCTGGCCCTGGCAGTTAACCCAGTGTATTAGTTATCTATCGCTGCAGCCCCAAAATTTGCTATCACGCAGTTTCTGTGGGCATTTCTGCCGCAGGGTCCCTTATGAGATTCTAAGATGTCGGTCAAGGCTAAGGTAATCTAAAGGCTTGATTGGGGCCATAGGACCCTCTTCCATAGTGCCTCACTCACATTATTCTCAACTAGGGTATGGCTATTGGTGAGAGGCCCCAGTTTTTCACATTGGCCTCTTCAGAGCACTCATGCTTGAGTCTTCTCATGACATGGCAGCCAGTATTTGCACAGGTGTTGATCCAGGAGAGCAAGGTGGAAGTCACTGTGCCCTTCATAATCTAGGTTCAGATATCACATACAGTACTGTCACTTCCACAGTATCTCACTGGTCACCCAGGTCAACCCAATTCATTTTGTGAGGGAACTCATGAGGGCATAAAAGGGAAGCAAGAGTTACTGGGAGCTATTTGGAGGCTGCTTACATAGTTCCCCAGTGATCCATGTTCCTCTCTCAGCCCCTGCCAAAGTCCTCTGAGTCTCATCCCGTTACAGCAGCAGTTTGAAATCCAGGATCTTGTCATCTAACTCAGGTCCAGGCACAAATGAGCCTCCTTGGGTCCAGCTCCTCAAATAAAATGATTTCTCTTAATTTGAAGACCTGAGAACTAGAGACAGGTTATTCATTTCCCTCCACAAATCCAAGATATGGTGGGTGGGATAGGTATAGGATACCTGCTGTATACATGCAGTTCTAAAAGGGAAAAAACAGGGAGGATACAGCAGTTACTGAGCCACACCAGTTCTGAAATCTAGCTGGGCACATGTTGGCATTTCTTTGATTGGGACTCACAGCCTGGGAGTGATTCTCTTTAACTCTTGGTTCCACTTTCTGGGTCATTCTTCCTCTCCTGTGAGAGCTAGCCTGAGTTTTCAGTGGAGTTGTTTTCTCAGCCTACTTCCTGCTGCTTTTCAGGTTGTGTTACCTCTGATCCTTTCAGTTTAAGTGAGCAGCACTTCTGCCAATGCGATTCTCTTAAAATACTTGTGGGCTTCCTATGTATCTTGTTGGGGGCTCACTTCATTAGACAAAAACCATACTCACAAATGTCTTTAAGATAAGCCTTTCTCTACATTGGGCTGCTTCTGAAGCTGAGGGACAGTCCCCTTAATAGTCATAGAAGCCCTGCTGTGAGGCACGCCCATAACCCTTAGAGAGCCTTTTGATTGAATAGTTCTCAGAGGCAGCACTTTAGATATTTCTGAGGTCTAAACAAAAGATTTAAGTCACACCCACAGTTTCATCTGTAGAGCATGTTTTCTTGACCATGTCCTGTATTTGATCTTTGCTTGGAAATGATTTCTTAATTTTAGCATCATTTGCCATCTGGAGAGGCTAGGGATTTTCAAAACCAGCAAATCCTGGCTCCTTCATGTTTAACAGTTTTCCTTTATCTTAGCTCTCTCCTCTCCTTTGTTGTAAGCCCCAATAAGAATACAGGAACACCTTCAACATTCTGCCTAAAAATGTTAGCTAGACCACTCAGTTCATTAGGCACAATAAATTTACATGTAACCGCCAGCAGCAGGTGGCTGAGTTTTCTATTTCATAACAAGGATCCGTTTCTTCCCGTTCCTTTAAGCCACCCCAGGAGAGTCTCAAAGGCTATCAGACTCCCAGTCGTGTGGAAAGCACCTTAGCCATTCACTAGCACCTCTCCTCACAGGCCTTCCAGCTCCCACCCACTGGTGCTCCCAAGGCCACTCCCACACTTTTAGGGTTTTGTTATCGCAGCAACCCTCTTCTAGGTACCAAAATCTGCATTAATTATCTTTATTGTGAAACAGGTTATCCCAAAGCTTGGTGGCTTAAAACAAGAATTATCTGGAGGTTTCTGCCGGTCAGGAACATCCAGTGGCTAAGGTGGTATGGGGTCTCTTAGAGGTCTCAGTGAGATGTCAGCCAGAGCTGCAGGTGTCTGAGGGTTGGAGCTGGAGAATTCACTTCTCGGTGCCTCATTCACATGGCAAGGGGGATGGCTATGGGCAAGAGGCCTCAGTCCCTATCCATGTGGGCCTCTCCAGGGGGCTGCTCGAGTATCCTCACAACATAGTAGCTAGCTTACTCCAAAATAAATTATCCAAAAGAGCAAGGTGGACCCTGCTGTGCCTTAGAAATCACATGCCGTCACTTCCACAACACCTTATTGGTCTCCCAGGTCAGCCAGTTTGTTGGGGGGGG